ACTATTGGGACTCGCTTCTAGAAAAAGTTATAAACATTTTAACTTGGCTAGTTCACTTTCCGATAACTAAATAAAAAAATGGATTTTTCGACTGGAATCGACAGATATAGCCTAAAAGATTACTGCTAGCATGACAATGGTTTTCATATGCCAAAATTATCGATCATCTTTCGAAAAGTCAGCTTCGCAATTAGTTCACCAAAAGGCAGGATTTCAAAAATTTGCATTACTATTTCATGCCAGTTGCGACTATTTCCTATTGTTGGCTAGACGCAAATTTTTAAAAATCTGACTTTTCGAAAAAATGACTTTCGAAAATAGTATCGTGCAACCATTGGCATGCTAGCAGAGACCTTTTCGGCATCTGGGCAGGGCGTAGCCAGGCCCGTAGGAGAGCCGAGATTTCGGGGGGCACCCACCCAAAAGTTTTTTTAGAAAATTAAAATAAAAAAATAAGAAAAAATTTAGAAAAATAGGTTTTCTTGAAGTAAAAATCATGCCCCCGGTGCCCCCCCTCGTACGGGCCTGGGCGTAGCAAACTACATACTGTGTATTCTATGTGTTTCAGCTCTACCCTGCACCCACGACGCGCCCGTGCTCATAATGGCGGAGTGGTGCACTCTACGAGAACTAAATAAAATCGGTATATCTCGTTGAGTTCTTCCATTTTTCGTTTGAAAAACCTTCGGGACTCGCTTCTAAAAAAAGTTATAAAAAGGGGCGGAGAGGGGGGGGGGGCACCGTGCCCCCGGTGCCCCCCCTTCCCCCTCGTACGGGCCTGGGCGTAGCAAACTACAGGGTGGCTAGAAAGTATTTGCCGCGCTTTCGCGCTGGTTTTATTCTGCTAAAATTCTAACGACAGGTGCATTAGTGGGGTGCATTCGGAAGAGAATTTTCTGCTCTATCGATTGATATATAAAAACAAGCAAATGCTTGCTCGTATAATTTTAATTAGACTGAAATACATCAAACTTTGTTTTTTTGTATTGGTTTTCGGCACTTTCGAAAGCCTCGAAAAATTTCTTATGGGATATCTTATTTTTTCCGGTGCTGTATCGTAGAAACCATTAACGAAACTATCTACAGGGTGCGGCAAAAGTATTGTCGCGAGCTTTTGTCTCATATCTGATTCGCGACAAAAAATCGGGAAGTTTTGTCAACAGGGTTAGCTTCAGACGGGTCCAAGGCAGCAATCTGCTTTTGAAAGTTTCTTGGAATCATGATTTTTGAGCGAGTTTCATTGCATGATGTACACGACCAAAAATCAAGGTGCGCCGCGCCCCCAGTTGTCGAAATAGGGTTCTAAATCCGGAGACTACGTGTCACCATGACTTTTCATATGTGTTTGTGGTAGAATTTGCTTTGTTCTCCGTCGTCCAAAATGGAAATCTTATAATTTTGTGGTTTGAAGGAGTTATGGCCTCAGCTATGTTTGACGAAAATCAGCTAATCTGGCCGGTTTCCCGAGAAGATTGGGTTTTTTGGGTTTTTAGTTTCTGAAGGGGCTCTCAGGGGATGACGTAACATTATATTATTATGCTTTCTGTTTGCTTATTTTAATGTGCATGATGCGCTAAATCCTGAACGCTATCCACCTCTGGTTTGAAAAAATTTATTTTGCATTTGCAAGCAGTCATGGAAGCTTATGTTTTCGAACCAGGTCAGGATTACTAGGTTCAAACTTCGGGAATAGATAAAAAGTAGCCTGAACCAAGCAGAGAAAAAATATCCAGGCTATCATTGCTTTGCGGACGACACAATCTCGCTTTTGCATACGGGGCGACCATGTGCGGCGCACTGGGTTTGCCTTTGCTTTGAATAGCGCTCCCTCAAAAAGGGAGCCGCAACATTCTTTGGTTGATGGTTTCTCAGGCAGAGTTTTATATGCTCTTTCAAATGAAATAAAAAGCTTGGCGTAGATACCATTCTTTGGCCACCTAGAGAGCGTCTAAAAAGCAGTTTTTAGGCTTGAATTTGCAGGCTTTTTTGGAAAAAGTTGTCCTAGCGACAAAAAAAGCAAAAATTCCAGAAGTAATCTTATCATCCGATAAAGCATTAAAAACTGCATCAAATAGATTCTTGGCTAGAATATCTGTCAAATTTCCTCGCAGATACAGTAGGCGTAAAGTCGCGACAATACTTTTGCCGCACCCTGTAAAGTCTAAAGTATCTACAGGGTGCGGAAAAAGTTTTCGGCGGCGCACCTTTTATGAAAAAGATTTGTCAAGATGGGCGTTTCGACTACATTTTTTGTAGTGTCCTGATAGATTGGGACAATTCTCATCCGATTTCACGAGCCAAAGATTTTTTTAATAAGTGCTCAGCTAAAATAACCGAGCTCGGAACACCGATGCGCAGGCGAGTTTCGAAATTGGCCACCATTTGGCCGATATAGAAAGCGCGGTTAAAATTTTCCGTGGCAGACTACCAGGCTTCCGAGTTTACGGGTTATAAAGAACAACCCCTTAACATTATTCCATATCAATATTATTGCTTTGTCAACAGACATGGCTGAATTCTCAGGGGTTTTGGCTGAAAGGCGGCAGCGTGCCAAGGCTTTAGAATGTTTAGCACCGCCTAAAAGCTGTATCCAGCGTTGGTTTCAAGCATCGTTTTTCTTTTTTAGTTTAAGGGGTGTCGATTAAGAATATCCGTGCGCTAAATCCCATTAGCAAGGCCGTTCTCTTCGGATTTTGTGATTACCGGTAGGAGATTTCCCGTCGCGACCAAAAATTCACGAAAATTAGAAGCGTCATAACTCTTTCGAATTGAAGCAAAATTTCTTAAGATTTTGTGCGAAGATAGACCACAGGTTTGGCAACATCTCTGCAAAATTTTGTGCTTTTTGACCAAGGGTAGCTCGCAGGGGGTACTGTAACATCAACGAAACAGCAGCGTGCCGGGGGCGTTTCTAAAATGATCTTTTCGGCCGTTCTAATCGGGTAAAATCTTTGAATTTGGGTAATCCAGTTGCGAAATATGATGCATGAGTCTTCACTTTCCAGCCTCGAATCCAAAAAAATCTGAATAAACCTCTAGGTTTCGGGTAACAGAGTTATTTGCCCCGCCGAAAACTTTCTCCGCACCCTGTAGGGTGTTAGTCTTTATGATAGTCGTAAAGAGAGGTATGTTCGCTACATTTTGGTTATAAAATGGCAATGAAGCCGGACACGGAGAATTTCTTAAGGAGCTTTCCCTGCGGCAAATACTTTCTAGCCACCCTGTACATACTGTATATTCTATGTGTTTCAGCTCTACCCTGCACCCACGACGCGCCCGTGCTCATAATGGCGGAGTGGTGCACTCTACGAGAACTAAATAAAATCGATATATCTCGTTGAGTTCTTCCATTTTTCGTTTGAAAAACCTTCGGGACTCGCTTCTAAAAAAAGTTATAAACATTTTAGATTGGCTGGTTCACTTTACGGCAACTGAATAAAAAATGGGTCTAATGTAAGGAAAAGGTTGTTCTCACCTTGCTCAAAGCCACAGCCATATTGGCCGGCTTCCTGTTGGCAAGCTAGCAGAGATCTTTTAGGAATCGGGGAAGAGCCAAGCAAGCTATACACTAAAAGAATTAATTTCAGCCCGAAATAATGTACTGAAATTTTTTATTGGATCAACAAAAAATTGGGGAAAATCTATGGGCAGCACATAGGATAACAGGGAGAAGCCCAATTTTCGAAATTTTCGATATTTTGAAAACGCGAATCGATCGAACATCAAAAATCAACTAATAGATTTTTTACAAGGCGAAAAAATGGTAGTTTGACAAAATCTCGAATTACAAAATCTCGAATGATCAGAATCTCGAATTTACAAAATCTCGAATGACAGAATCTCGAATGACAAAATCTCGAATAAACAGAATCTCGAATGATTAGAATCTCGAATGACAGAATCTCGAATTACACCAATGTAAGGCTTTATTTAAATGCACATATCAGTTAAACGGGAAATTGTACATAGCATATCACAGGGTTCTGGAGTTCGCGATGAGGAACTCGAGTTTGGTAAATTCTTGATAGCGAAGACAGAGGGCGGCCTGCTCATCGATGGCCCAGCGGTAGCCTTTCTTCTTGGTACCCTTTTGCTTCAATTCTTCGACTTTGTTATCGATTTTCGATAAATAATCAGCACATATTTATAAAGGTCCTCGTCGCCATAATATGCGGAATTGATTGAACTCAGGATAAGTATAAATGTTGCAACGAAAAATGTTTCAAAAATTTCCAGGCCGGCTGCTTTATGGAACAGCTAATCGCTATTAGATTGATAGACCTTAAAATTTAGATGTAAAATCTTATTTCGTCGATTACGCTATTCATTTATGAGCTAAATATGATGTTTCGATATATATCGAATTCTAAGCAAGATTTCGAGATTCTGTAATTCGAGATTCTGTAATTCGAGATTCTGTAATTCGAGATTCTGTAATTCGAGATTCTGTCATTCGAGATTCTAATCATTCGAGATTCTGATTATTCGAGATTCTGTCATTCGAGATTTTGTAAATTCGAGATTCTGATCATTCGAGATTCTAATCATTCGAGATTCTAATCATTCGAGATTCTGATCATTCGAGATTTTGTCATTCGAGATTTTGTAATTCGAGATTCTGATCGGAAAACGAAAAAATGTATCATAGAAGTTTTATAGCCTAACAACTATCTTTGAAAATATGGGGGGACAAATTTTCGGCGTTTTGAATACTTTCGATATTTTGAAAATACCATCGACAGAGGGCCGAAAAATATACTAAGAGCCGAAAAAAGCATACATAAGAATACATTTATCATTAAAAAAAGCTTGGGTGGCCCCCCGTTATTTTATCCCCCCCCCCCCGCTATTCTATTTGTACCACCTTACGGCAACTAAATAGAATGTCGATTTTTCAATGCCTTAAAAATTTAAATTCCTTCAACAACATGTAATTAACATGCAAAATTGCGTTTAGTTAACAAAAACGAGCGCATGATTTCCACATCCCCACTTCAGCGATGATGCCCGGCGGCAACTCTGGGCCCGAGAAAAGGAATCCTTCGAACCAGTCCCCTGTAGGCGTTGAGCAGAGCTCTTTTAGGAATTGTGCAGAAGCAGGCTAGCAGAGATCTTTTAGGAATTGTACAGGGCAAAGGAAAGTATATTCCATATGTTTAAGGGCGCTTGTACGACCCCACAACAGGAAGCCACCACGCCGCCGGCTGACGCCAACAAGACCGCCTCGCCCACGGCCCTCAATACCACCATTGTAGGCGTTGAGCAGAGATCTTTTAGGAATTGTGCACGGCAAAGGAAAGTATATTCCATATGTTTAAGGGCGCCTGTACGACCCCGCGACAGGAAGCCACCACGCCGACGGCTGACGCGATGATGACCACCACGCCGACGGTCCTCAACACCACCATTGTAGGCGTTGAGCAGAGATCTTTTAGGAATTGTGCAGAGGCAGGCTAGCCGAGATCTTTTAGGAATTGTGCAGAAGCAGGCTAGCAGAGATCTTTTAGCAATTGTGCAGAAGCAGGCTAGCAGAGATCTTTTAGGAATTGTGCAGAAGCAGGCTAGCAGAGATCTTTTAGGAATTGTGCAGAAGCAGGCTAGCAGAGATCTTTTAGGAATTGTACAGGGCAAAGGAAAGTATATTCCATATGTTTAAGGGCCCGTGCACCACTCCGCAACAAGAAGACACGGGGCCACCGGCTGACGCGATGCAGACCACCTCGCCGACGGTCCTCAACTCCACCATTGTAGGCGTTGAGCAGAGATCTTTTAGGAATTGTGCAGAGGCAGGCTAGCCGAGATCTTTTAGGAATTGTGCAGAAGCAGGCTAGCAGAGATCTTTTAGCAATTGTGCAGAAGCAGGCTAGCAGAGATCTTTTAGGAATTGTGCAGAAGCAGGCTAGCAGAGATCTTTTAGGAATTGTGCAGAAGCAGGCTAGCAGAGATCTTTTAGGAATTGTACAGGGCAAAGGAAAGTATATTCCATATGTTTAAGGGCCCGTGCACCACTCCGCAACAAGAAGACACGGGGCCACCGGCTGACGCGATGCAGACCACCTCGCCGACGGTCCTCAACTCCACCATTGTAGGCGTTGAGCAGAGATCTTTTAGGATTTGTGCAGGGGAAAGGAAATTCTATTTGATGTGTTTCAGGCTCAAGCCAAGAAGGCGCCGACTCCGTCGGCCAAGTCACCGGCTCGCCGCCGCATTCGCCAGGTTCCTTTGGTCGGTCACTGAACCTTCGACGGCTATGTTATGCAAAAAACAGCATTTAATGGCGCTGCGTATCTATCGAAAATCGAAGCTGCGCGGCGAGCGCTGAAACGTCGCGGAGCGGTTTTCGAGAAATGATCAACGTCCATTTGGGGCGAATACTTTCGAGATAATTGTTGGTGTCGACCGGTTTCTTTAAAGGGATACGGACGGACCGGGGGAGCCGGCTGGACTCGCCTTTTCGAGAGCTTTCGATAGATACCTAAATCGTAAAAATCGGAGGCGACTGCGGACCGCTAGGGGAAATTTTTTGGACAACCTGCACATTGATCTAGGCTTACAAGATTAACTAAAGGGCTCAAGTCTAGAACCCCCCCCCCCCAGCCACAACTTTTCAGCCATGCGTCCTATTAATGCGCCGAGTATCTCAAAATGTTCGCCGTGGTCGAATTACTCTAGAAAAGTTGTTTCCCTACATCAAAAATTGATAGAAAAATTTTTATAACAATGATAAGTCTGGGTTTTCTTTAGTTAATTTTTGCTGTTCCAAAGTGAGTTTTCGTATCTCGGCTATCTTTTGACGTACAAAGCTGTCATTAGTACCAAAATGTAGCTCTTGTTCTGTAGAATAAGCCTACAGTACGCTTGAGTCGAAAAAATAGCGGAAAACAAAAATATTTGAGTTTTTGACTTCTGGTACATCGAAGCACAGCGGCTTAATGTTTTCAACTTTCAAAATCTTGTAAAAAATTTTTTTAACAATTTTTGATGTAAGGAAACGACTTTTCTATAGTAATTCGTCGACGGCAAACATTTTGAGATACTCCACGCATTAATAGGACGTATGGCTGAAAAGTTATGGCTGGGGGGGGGGGGGTTTCCTAGACTCTTACCAACTAAAGAGAAAAATAAAGCAAAATCGGTAGAATAACTCGTTTGAGAGCAGGACACTATCGTTTATCACCGGCACATTGCAGAAGCTGCTGAAGCGGGTCGGCCGCTGGCTGCAGTCCAAGTGGTCGTCCAAGGTGGGTGCCCCGGCTAAAGAAACATTCAACTCCCAGCTTTTAATGGAAAAGCAAATGACTATGCCACGGCCGGGGGTCGAACCTTGGCCTTGTGCGCGGCAAGCGAACAGAAAACCAATGTTTTTTTTTTGTTTTTCGAAAATTTGGTCATTTTTGGGCCGAAAAAAATGATTTTTCAACCTAAAATTAAATTTTTTAATTAAGTTTTGTAAAGTTGTTATGTTAAGGAATAGCTAAAAACAATTTAGAAACACTTCCACTATTTATATAAAAAACATAGGCTTGGGCGGAAAAAAGTTCGGTTTCCCCCCGCCTAAATCTTTCCCCCCCGCCTATTTGAATTGTACCTGCGTGCAGTCATCTCGGGGCCGTTACGCACCTAATGACGTATCATATGTAGCTTAAGACCATTCCCCTCTTGAGATATCCTCCGGACACGGTGACGGAAGTTGGATGCAAATTGGCACACACACACACACACACAGACACTATTTTTTATATATATAGTAGGATTAAATTAAAGATTCGAATACAGTAGAGCCAAATCTTGTGAGTGGGGGGGAGACTGGGGTTTGGACGCCCTGCACATTTTTTTTTCAGACCGCGAAGGACGGCGCCGAGAAGCTGCGCTGGTTGGGCTACAGCTCGCAGGAGCTCGCCCTTATGGTCAGTTGGTGTTGAGATCGTGACTCTTTTGCCTGGTGAAACGGCGGTGCCGATCGCATCTCTTTTTGGCACAAATGTGCCATTCAGGGAAGATAAACCCTTTCCGGGAAAAGCTTCGTTTGTACCCGCTTCCAACCTTTGGCTTATTGCGCCGCAACGGAGTATACAATTTTAACGTTTCCCCCATCCAGTCATTTCGCAATATTGGGGTATTTTTAACATGAATAGCGAAAGCGTTTCGCAGCCGTATTTGACTATTCTTAACCGTCAAAAAAAACTTGAAATGTGCCCAAAATGGATTTTTTTTTGGACCACGAATGACCGAGATTGGTTTGCTGTTACTGCAAACATTTTGGAAACGCTGCTTATTAAAGGGATGCCCAACCTTTTCGGGGTTCAAAAAGAAAAAACGATGCCGCGGGCGGGGGTCGAACCCGGGGTCCCCGTTTTGTAGGCCTAGATGCTATCCATTAGGCCATAGTGGCAAGCCATTGGATGGGATGGGAGCGCCACAAGAGGGAAACGGGTCCGAATTCTGTGCGACTTTGGGGCCCATTGCCGCACAAAATTCGCGCGTCATTTGTACTGCCCGGAATATATCTATATATTTGCCGGCGAAACATTGGGTAGCCCTTTAAGTTACCAGGCATTCCCAGAATTGTAGAAAAGAAATTTGGCGGTGTGGTCGGGGGAGATTTTTAGGATTTATCCCCCCCGATAATGCGAAAGCCCCCCCCTTTCCCGGTCTCACTGACATTGACCGTTGTTTCTTTCAGGAGCTGCTGCGGAGCGACGGCTACGGCATCCTCTGGGCGTCGACGACCTGTCAGCAGCCCGGTCTATCGCTCAACTCGCTGGGCATCGTGCTCGAGGTGGAGACCGGCACCCAGTGGGCTCAGTTGCTGCGGGTAAATGCTTGCGCTTTCATGGATGCCATCGGATAGAACATCAAAAAAAAATATACTAACAGATTTAATTTGAGCCCGAAATAATGTATTCTAAATTAGTTATTAAAAAAAACAAAAACATTGGCTGGTCATGAAGTATAACCATAAGGTGATCATCATTTTCGGCGTTTTCAGCTTTTTCGTCGGGATTTCATTTGTGCCATCGGACAGAGCGTCAAAAATTATACTAAGAGATTGAATTTCAGCCCGAAATACCAGAATTTAAAAATTTTACTTTATTAAGCTAAAAAGTTTAATCAATTAAAATCGTCTAAAATTTTTTTGGACTGGAATTAAATTACTTAGTATATTTTTTGACGCTCTATTCGATGGCGTTTTCACAATAGCAGGACATTCTTTATCATACAAAAATTGTTTCCACCCCCGTTATTTGCCCCCCCCCCGTTAAGCAACCTTTACCGGTGTTTCTACTTACAAGTGGTGGTCTCAGCTCGTCATCGGATTTCGATCAAATCGATCGATCGATCAGATCAAATCATCCGGTTAAACAACGAAACAAAAAATCCGAGTTTTTTGGCTTATCTTTGGTTTATCAGGAAAACGACCCGGGTTCGATCCCGCCCGCGGTTAATCTTTTGCGTTTTGCTTTTTTGGTCGGAAATGTTCAGAAATACTCGGAATCGAGCTTGTTAGTCTTATTTAGATGTTCTGGTTTTCAAAACTACACTTTGGAGTCGAAGAAATGGTATTTAGGTAAAGGTTGCTTAACGGGGGGGGGGGACAAATAACGGGGAGAGGGGGACCAATTTTTGTATTTATAAAGAATATCCTGCTATTTTGAAAACGCCATCGAATAGAGCGTCGAAAATTATACAAAGAGCTTTAATTTCAGCCCAAAAACCCTAATTTTTAACGATTTTTAATTGATTAAACTTTTTAGCTTAAAAAAGTAATAATTTTAAATTGTGGTATTTCGGGCTGAATTAAATCTCTCAGTATATTTTTCGACGCTCGGTCCGATGGCATGCTAGAATTGGCACGGCGGGTCCGTATAGGGGGAAAAATGGTTTCCACCCCCGTTATTTCTTGCCCCCCCCCCCCCCCGGTTAAAGGGCTAGTTCAGCCAATAAAGCAAAAGAATTTCCGCGGCCAGGAGTCGAACCCTCCCTGCGTTTTTGTGTCTGCGCCTCTCTCATTTCCCCGATCTCTAATAGCTGTCGTAATGGGGGACTGTTCGGGCGCACTGTGCCTACGTCTATAGTTTCCCAAGGTACCAGCCCAAGCACTAAAAGTTGAACCAGCCCTTTAAGCAACCGTTACCTTATTTTATCGTCCCCAAATTTGGAGCCGCTTTCGAGTCCTGACAACCTCTACATGTGAGAGATTGCCGCGTCAGTTTTTTCGACCGTTTCAGGCCGGAGACATCATCCTGCACGTCTCTGGACTCACGGATATCACCACCGAAGCCATGCAGACAGCCGGTCCGCGCCGGCTGACGTTCGCGAGGAAGGTGAGAGCTTATTTTTGGGTTATTGACATAGTGACGAACAGGGACGTAGCGTAATACAGGCCCCGGGGGCCCGGGCCCCGAAATCGGCCGGGGCCCGAAAATTTCATAAGGGGGGACCCTTCTGATTTTTATTTTCTCAAAAATTTTGCTGCCTGCCGCGCTATTTTTTCATGTTTTTACGGCTATTTGTAAAAACTATGCAACCTTTTTTTCAAAAATTTTTGCCTGCGGCGCTGTTTTTTCGGCAATGTTTTGGGATTTTTGGAAAAATTATTTGGGGGCCCCCCCCCCCCGAAATTTTTTTCTGGCTACGCCCCTGGTGACGAAGTTTGATAACGCCGAATTATCATATCACCGAATTTGTATCATTCCGAATTTTTACAACGCCGAATCCTTCGGAAGACTCAGGGTTCTGGACTGTTAGCGGGGCGAAAAATTTTTGATAGGGGGAACCGCTTCCTGTTTATGTATACGTACCTGCTTTATGTATGCTTATAGAGTTTTTAGCAGTTTTGAGTGGTTAGAAGGTTATTAAAAATCTTATCGAAAGTCTGAAAATCCGAAAATGGACCTTTTTTGGTAATTTTCATAAAATTTGAGCAAAAGTCAAAAATTTCTATTTTTTAATATTTGTTTTTATCTAAAAAAAGCCGTGTAAAATGCTCCAAATGTATATTCTGATATAGGGCCGTAGAGAATCACAGGAAAAATTCGGTCCCCCCCCCCCCCCCCGTTAACAGCCCAGACCAGACCGAATGTCAAAATGCCGAATTCTGTTTCTAAATGCTTAGCTGTTTTCGGCGAACCGTGTAAGAAGTGCGACGGATACCTAAGTTTAAAAGTAGGGCTAAAGGTAGCGCATGCTCTATCGAATGAGCAAAAGACGTTTGCACCGGGCGGGGTCGAACGCGCACCGTGAGAATGACAACCCAGCGCGCTAGCCACTATGCCACGCTCACCAACCTGCCCGAGCACCCCCTTTCCCCACGCGGCGCTCCTATGTAAGCCGCCACGGTGTCCGCGCTCTGCAGCCAGCCGCAACCCCTGCGGCTGAGTACCCCAGCATCCCAGAGGCCTTTAAGATAGAGACAAACAGGTGCGAAACAATATCTCATTGCTTCGGCAAGGCATGTGCGGGCCGAAGTTGAAGTGTATATTTAGGGCTCCTACAACCCGGAGCTGCTCGAGTGCTTGCGCCGCGAGACGCTGCTCGCGCTCCCCCCGGACGGAGCTGATCTGTGGCGTGTGCAGCTTGGAGTTGACGAGGAAGCGACGCTACGGCCACCTTACGCTCTGCTCCACGCATGCAAACCAAGTGGCGTAAGTCTAAACACTTCAAAAAAATTACTACTTTACTCCCCCCCCCCCCCTCAGCCAGAAGTTTTCGACTATCACTTTTTATTTTACAGTATTGTAGGCTCAAATTAATACACTTGGTATATTTTTCGACGCTCGATCGAATGGCTTTGCAAAAATACCGAAACTAAGCGAAAATACCGAAAAATTTGAGAAACCGAATTAAACCGAATTCCGGTCACTCCGCCTAAACCGGTTTCGCCCGGACCCATTTTTGCATAAAACCCGTGTCGTCAAATGCATTTGGCATAAATTTTTGGCCACCAATTTTTTGGAAAGATTTGGAAAGAAGAGAAAGAAATTTTTTTCGGCGCACGCCCAAACTTTTACATCAAATAGCGGATGCGTTTGAACAGTGTTAAATTTCAAAAAAGTCAAATCTCATAATGTCGATTTACAAAATCACGATAGTCATACTGTCGACTATTATAATGTCGATTTTATATAATGTCGATTTTATGTAATGCCGATTTTCGTAAAAGGTTTATACATAAAGCACATTTTTATGATGCCGATTATTATAATGCCGATTCCCATAATGCCGATTTTGCGACTTTTCCCAGGGCGCTAAACCATTTTCTTTTCGACGAATCCTAGTGTTCGATATACTAATCAAGAGCCGAAACTAAAACCGTCATTTTTGCACTTAAAATTATTTATATATATATAATTTTTGTATTCTGGTAGTAAAAACGGCCTTTTGTCCGGGAAAAACTGGGATATCGAACACTAGAATTGATCGGGAGGTCAATGGCTTAGTGCCCTAAGAACAGTCGCAAAATCGACATTATGGCAGTCGGCATTACAAGAATCGGCATTCTAAGAATCGTCGTCATGTAAAATCGGCATTATGAAAATCGGCATTATAATAGTCGGCATTTAGTAAATCGGCATTATGAGATTTGACCTTTTCTACATTGTGTTTGGCTATTTCTGGGCATCAAAACCTTCCTTCCTATTCAGCCACTTCTCCAACGACGACCACTGCGAGGACGAGGAGCTGCACTCTGCTCTACGCGCTGAGCGTCAGCGTAAGCCCAGAATTTTTGAAGTGAAGCCAACGAAAATTACAGAGCCGAGGGAATGCCGCAGCTGTACGGCCACAATCCTCCGCGAGCATGGATGGAACGCGAAATAGCCGCCAATGCGTACGCCTGCTCCCGCCCCACCATCACGGCCACCGACCCCACTTTAACCCTCATTAGATTTGCCGATTAGATTGAATTGCCGACTATATCCGTTGTATCTATATATCTATAAAACTCGTTTTTCCTATACGAAACCCGCCAAAGAATGCTACGTGGCTTCCCCATATCGAATAAACGGCTGCCCTTATTCTTCCTTTCTCCCTTTCTCTCTCTCTCTCTCTCTCTCTCTCTCTCTCTCTCTCTCTCTCTCTCTCTCTCTCTCTCTCTCTCTCGCTAACGCTCTCACTCACTGTTCCGCGTTCTCTGTATCTCTTTTATCTCTCTCCCTCTCGCCCTCTCTCGTGCGTTCCGCTTGTCTGTTTGGAGATCACTGGACACGCATAATATGGGCACACGCTCAAACCACGGGCCAACCTCTTCGCCACGCCGGAAGCCGGAGCAGCCCGTATCATCGCGGACTACCCTCTGAAAGGAGAAAGCCAGCTTGACTTTCTTTGCTGCGAGCGGCTTGAGTGCGAGAAGAAAAATACAAAGCCAGCTGGGCTTTCTCCTTTGAGAGGGGCTTCGGTGGCTGGCAAAAATACAAAGCCAGCTTGGCTTTCTCCTTTCAGAGCGGCTTGAGTGCGAGATGAAAAATTTTTAGAAAATTTTTGGAAACTTTTTAATAGCGCCGCGCCCCGAAACAAATGGCGCGTTCTTGCCGTCGCGAAACGCTGAAATTTAGAAACTGCGCAAAGATTTGCATTAAAATCTTTGCATTTAATTTTTGCATCAAAATGATGTCCGTTCTGTGCCCATAATCCCCCTCGCACATATCGCTGCTTCCCATGGAAGAGCGACGAACAGATTTCCCGGCGCTACTTCAGTTTGCTGGCCCCACTTATATATGGCCAAAACCTCATTTTTCTGGTTCAGTTTTTTGCGCTGATTACGGAAAACACTATCCCAGCCCACGAAAATGAAATCGTGAATTTTGAGGGGAGAAAACACTTGATTTTCGATTTTTCTGGTTTGAGTTTTTAAAGGGGGTCAACCCGGTGTTTTGATGCGGGAGGCCTATAAAACAGTGGAAAAGCTTTTTCCAACGAGGCTGAGCGATTGCATCCGCTTTTTTTCCTAAAAATAAGGCTTCGTGCCACCCCGGGGCCTAGTCGCTTCGGATGGGTGCGAGCTCGTACAGGGTTTCGAAATCGGGGCGCCCGAGGCGCGCGAAGCGGCCAGGCGCCCCGATTTCGAAAGAGTGGAGCGGCAGCCCATCCGAAGCGACGGCCCGCCTTGCCTGACAATGCTACTGGCTGACTTTATTCATGATAAACCCGTTTTTGGCCATTATTTAATTAAAAAACCACAAAAAGGCTCCTTTTACGCGACCGCCGTAAAATGGAATTTTCCCGACTTTCCAATTAAATTGTTTTACTAAATCGCATTTTCGTGGGCTGGGATAGTGTTTTCCGTAATCAGCGCAAAAAACTGAACCAGAAAAATGAGGTTTTGGCCATATATAAGTGGGGCCAGCAAACTGAAGTAGCGCCGATTTCCCTCCCGAAGATGTCATTAATCTCGTCTACTACCATGGTTCGTTCCTCTGTTCCCTTGCTTTTCTCGTTTTCCTGCTAATTCGTTGTAATTCCATCTGTAAAATACTTTTTTCCAGGACTTCTGCCCCGTGAAGACATCGCCACCCTGCTCGTGAGAGACGGGCAATTCCTGGTGCGAATCTCAGAGGTCAGCCCTGCCGACGTTGCTTTATTTTTATGGTCTCCGCCTGGAAAACGGTTGCTCGCGCCGGAATCTACATTGAAATGTTTAAAATATCATCAGTTTGTACCAATTCGGGACCTATTAATTTGCCGAGTATTTCAAAAGGTTCGCTCTAGTCGAAAAGCTATCGAAAAATTGCTTTCTTGCGCCAAAAATTGCTAAGAAATTTTTTTACACTATTTGAAAAGTTAACTTTTGGGTTAAATTTTGACCTTGAACTGACAGGCTTCGCTTGTGAACCTTTCTCAACCGATTCCGGCGTTAAAAACCCAGACTTCAGGCGAGGAGCACAAAAAATTTTTCCATACGTCCGAGCATTCAGTCTAACCCATTTTAGCCCGAGGAGAAGCAAGAAAAGGAAATCATCATCTCCTTCTACCAGAACGATGGGGGCGGCCCGGTGGTGCGCCCAAGGCGGAACAGAAGTCAGCGGGTGAGAAATGATAATAGGCGACAATAATAGCTCGCTTTTCTTCAGGACAGCGGACGAGGGACAACGGCTAAATCGGTGAACATGAGCGGCAAGCGCGGGCTGACCAAGGAGAAGGCCGACAAGCCGAAGGGACCCATCAAGCACATGATCGTCCACCTGGTCGAAGAGCAATATTCCGTTGACCAGAAGAAGGTGGCGTCGTTTCGGACTAGACCCTTACAGAGCTTTTTTAGTGCTTTCGCAACCTCACCGACCTCATCAACTACTACAGCACAAGTGATCCGGCCGCCGGCGAGAGTCGCGCTGACGCCAAGGTGTATACTTCTGTACTTCTCTCCTCAACGCCCTTTTTCCAGCAAAAATGCCGTCTCGAGGAGCCGATCCCGCGTCAGATCTGGGAGTACGAGCACAAGGACGTGAAACTGGAGAAAAAGCTGGGCAATGGAGAATTTGGCGAGGTTAACCCGCGCTTTTAGCAAGGTCGACACCAAAATTCTAGGTTTGGAAAGGCCAACTGAACCGGAAAGGGCCTCAGCCGAAGCAGGTCGATGTTGCAATTAAACTGGTATCTTTTCTGACGATTCTGATCACCTAGTTTTAGGCGAAAGGCGAGGTGGCGGCCGCCAAGAAGAAGCGCAAGGAGATCATGCAGGAAAGCCGTGTGATGCGCGACCTTATTCATCCGAATGTGGTGGGTGACGTTTACTTATTTTAGACAGTTTTCTATTAGGTTCGTGCCTATGGCGTCGCTGTTTTGGAAAATCCCATGTACATCCTGCTGGAGCTGATCCAGGGCGGAGATCTGCTCAAATTCCTCAAGTCCGAGTCGAAGCCGACGCGCCGTGAGCTCAAACGCATCATGTTCCAGGTTTTTACGCGATTTACATGTTGTTATTTGATGGTTTTCTAGTGTGCGTGTGGTCTCGAGTTTATCCACCAGAAGGAGGTCATACACCGCGATCTGGCGGCCCGGAATTGCCTGTACGATGGCGAGCGGGTACGTGCTAAGAAGAATTCTTTCGTCTATCCATTGTTTTCGCTTTTTCAAAATGTATGGAACTGGACTGTTTGCAGGGCGGAAACTGATTTTGTTTTGTTTTTCCGTATTCCTTCCTGTTGCTATGTATAATATCTTTTTATAGTGGTTTTAGGAGTTTTTGGTTGCTAGAAAGCCATCAAAAAAAGGAATAATTTTTATAGGTTTTTTGTATCTGAAAACTATGTAAAATGCAATCATTAGTCTAAATGGCTGTAGAGGATTACTGAGAAAATTTGGTTTCCCCTGCGAACAGTCCAGTAACAAATTTACTAGGAGGCTAAAAAGCTTAAAGAACCCAGCCGAAATTTTAGTGCTGAACCCAACTTGTCGTTTCAGCTTCGCATCAGCGATTTTGGGCTGTCGGTGCGTGGACCCGTGTTCTTGTTGCCGAAAAATGCTAACCAGCGCCTGCCGATTCGCTGGCTCGCTCCGGAGATTTTGACGGTACTATTCGAGTTGTTCTTTTTGAAAACCTTGTTCAGCTCGGCACGTTCACCTACAAGACGGACGTCTGGGCGTTTGGCTGTCTGGTGGTCGAGATCTACTCGAACGGCGAGCTCCCGCACGCCGGAAAGACGAACGGTGAAGTGAAGGAGGGCTTGGTAAGCATCGGAATTCTCCTGTAGCTTTTACCTTTTAGGTGCAACGCCATACTGCGCCCAAGATGCCGCCCGGGATCCCGCAGGACATGGTCAACTTTTGCAACGACTACATCTGGGTTCGCGAGAAGCAGCGCACCGACATGCTGAAAGTGGTCAACCTGCTCGGCGCCATCGGCCACTTCCAGCGACCCGTCATCGGCGGTGATGAGGAGCCGTAAGCAAATTTTTTTCGGCAAAGGCCTAGATTTTTTTATAAATTGCGGACGCGTTTCTAAATTGTTTTTAACTATGACGAGACTTTAACCCAAAATGACCAAATTTTCGACTTTTTCAAACATTTTTCTAAATTTTTCTGAAAGTTATTCTGCTTTAAATATAGTTAAAACTTAATAAAAACAATTCGAAAACACTTTATATTTGATTACTAGGTCACCCGAGACGACCAGGAAAAAAATTGGTTTCCGCCCCGGGAATACTTCCCCCGGAATCCTAAAGAACCTTTTTGTCTTATGATCCAGTTTTTCTAATATCAATCGCGCAGGTGTTTCTAAATTGTCTTTTTTTCTATTCTTAAACGGAAAACTTTGGAGGTTTTTACGAAAAAATTCAAAAAGACCGATTTTTCGACAAAAACGCGCAATTTTCGACCAAATCCCCCTCGATAATACACAAGAGACTATTTACGAGGGTTTGACTTCAAGATTCGGCTGCGCATACTTTTGATCGGGCCATGGTTTTGTTTTTGGCCGCGCTGTGTAATTTCCCCTCTTTTTCCAGTGGAGCCGCCAACATCCACGATGGTCCAAGCGTGGCCGAGACGTCGGGCACCCAGGACGGAGGAGGAAATGCGGCCGACGGCGAAGAGAAAAAGCCGCAACCTGCTTAATTCAGTCTCGCGTGCCCCCGGCATACTCACTTACACAAATTCGTAAAATCACATTGCTCGGTTGAAATTGTATCGTTAATTCGTGTTTTTTTATATTGCGCTTGATCGACGTGTTGGAATGGTTATTTAACCCCGCGACAACCTCGATGTCTGTCCCTAATAAATCGTGATTCAGCACGTGCCCTCGTTTTTGTTTTCTGTGTTTGGTGCCTGGCAGTATCGTACTAATTCACTTCCTAACAAAAAGTTGTTTCTGGACTGTTAGCGGGAAGATTTTCGAAGAATTTTGGCTTTTTCGTCAAAAAGGTATGAAAAACCACAAAGGTTCAAAATTTAAAGTATTTTGTAGCTTTTTGGCAATCAAAAAATACTATGCTTCCCCCCGCCCCGCTAACAGTCCAGTATCGAAAAGCCCAGGCGCGTATTTTGAGGTTCTATTGCTGTACTCTTCCATATCATAGTTTCAACGACGTTGTGGATCGACAGAGGTTCTGGTTAGTTAGTGGGGGGATGAGGATGTTTCTACCGGGGATAAACCAAACTTTGTTATTGATTTTGACATCGCTAGTAATAAAATAACGTATGTTGGGGTGAAATGGGCACTTTCCGATGATTGCGAGATTTTTAAAATTGAAAAATTGAGACATTTTTACGAGATTTCGAGCATTTAAAAACTGTTTTAGGTTTTGCATTTTAAAAGAAGGCTGCTACTTTTCAGTTTTGATTAGGAGGCGTCTACGGAAACATAGAATTCCCCCGCCCCCCCCCGCTAACGAACCAGTACCGGGGTTGCTTTGCCAGTTCCAACGCATACTTTGCACCTATTCAAACCAACGCGTAGGCGGGCGACGATAAGCGGAATGTTTTGGGACGGGGCTTCCGGCGAGCGGCCCGGGCCAAGAGAAACGATGACGGGATCTGTGTTTCGCTGAGACGCACCGCCGCTTTCAGTGCTGTGGAAGGCGGGTTTGGATATATGGAGGGTCTGCCCATTCGGCTGGGTTTGATAGACATTGTATTTTGTCCTCTTCACTCTTCCTCCTGGGATCCCCTCCCTACAACGAACCATCCACGCCGCCGATCCGTTAGTTTTCTCACGGGAGGCCGGCATTCCGACCGTTGTGCGCTTATCAAATGGCGTGTTCTTCCCACAGCCGCTCGCCCTCCTCCCAAATCAGCTTGCAAATAGTTTCAGGCGCCTCCTCTCCTATCTCGCCCACCTTTTTCTATCTATGATTCGACGGGTTTCCCGGTCAACGAGTCCAGAAAAAGCCGTGGGGCTTTTTTCTTTTTTTTTCCGGCCCTAGCTTTCCGACTTGATGATGAGGTACTTTTTTATCTGGGGGAGTGGGGCAGCCAACCTCTCTTTATTTAGCATGAACCTGCATGGTAAGAAAATGTGATGTATCATATTTTCACCGTTTTTTAGTAGTTTCCGATAACAAACTTGAACCATTTATGGATCTTTTTGAATTTTTGAAGTTTTTGCTCTTTTGAAAATTTGTCATAGACGTTCTGTCAATAAGTCAAACATTTTTAAGTTTTTTCGATTATTTTCCCAATCAAAAAGGATGTATACGACTCGAATGTACAACAGCTTTTTGGCTATAAAAGCGTTCTATCCTCCATTATCTCGTGCGCGAAGGAAAATTGTTTTGATCCGACTTTCAGCCGGATGTCGATCCCTTTGTTTACCGGCTTTTAGATCGATGAATCGCCGTCAATCGGTGAATCAAATAGAGCTGAACAAATAGACCTGGTTACCTTGACTAGGGAATGTTTTCGGGCGGACATCGGACCCAGATATGTGAGTATGTGCATCTTGTAGAACTCGACGAGACGAATCGAATGATGTAACTTTTAGCTGCTGATACCTTATTTTAACAAAGTTACAACGGTTTAAAGTTTTTGGCCATACCTTCATAGGCTCTCCCCACACCCTGACCACCGTGTCCTGGTGGCCTAGTGGCTTAGTAGTCGGCGTCCGAAGATGGTAACGAGGGTACGGATCCGCTCACGATTTTTATTTTTTGCTTTTTGGTCGAGAGCTTTCTTTTTGCACCCCGATGGCCTACAAACACTTATTTCACAGTTTTTTTTTATCTCCAGGACTTACACCAAATTTGGTGACAGTATTCATTGGATTTGTGTTCTTGCAAGTACAACCAATGTTGATGACTTCAGCTCGAAAAATTCTCTGTGTTCCCCTTATGCTTATTGATTGGGAATATGATTGCGAAACCGTCCGGCAGGTAAAAAAATTTGAAATAAGTGTTTGTGGGCCATCGGGGTGCAAAAAGGAAGCTCTCGACCAAAAAGCAAAAAATAAAAATCGTGAGCAGATCCGTACCCTCGCTACCATCTTCAGACGCCGACTACTAAGCCACTAGGCCGCCAGGACACGGTGGTCAGGGTGTGGGGAGAGCCTATGAAGGTATGGCCAAAAACTTTAAACCGTTGTAACTTTGTTAAAATAAGGTATCAGCAGCTAAAAGTTACATCAATCGATTCGTCTCGTCGAGCTCTACAAGATGCACATACTCACATATTTGGGTCCGATGTCCGCCCGAAAACATTCCCTAGTGAGGGGCCAGTTGTCACCATTTTTAGCAGTGACTTTTTCTCGTGAAGCTAGGCAGTGAATTTTGAAAATTCAATTTTCCCAATTTTGATCGTTTGAAAGCGACGTCAATGATTGATTGGTGAAGCTATACTCGGCACGTTTTTTGGTCGAAATCTATATCTAATAGGATTTTCAGGGGATCGGGCGATGCGGCGGTTGTTTCCGATTGATTGGCCGGTTGCCCCCCCCCCCCATCCCGACCCACAGCCAATGCGAAAAAATGACTGGCCATCGGAGGCAGCCGCACGCAGCCCGAGCTCTCCTCCCTCTACACAATCCCTTCGCAGTCCTCAATATATGGCCTAATACGCCTTTTGGCTTTTCGTTTTCTTTGGGCTGAGCGAAAGCCTTGGGAGGGGTTGGATCCGGGATCGATTTCTTTCATGTTGACGGAATCCCAAATTTATCCCGTCTTTTGGTTTTGATTTTAGAAGTTCTAATTGCGCTTTTAATGCCCCTATATGTAAAATACGTATTTGCTCATGCGTTAATATATGCCCGAATCCGCTGTCAGTTTTTCGTTTGGCTTGGCATCTTTTTCTTTGATTTTGAAGGGACCCGAATTTATAATCATTTGGTTTCACTTAAGAAGTTGCGGCTCCATTTTTATGTGTCCCTTTGGCCATAGCGAAAGAAAAACTTTATAAGTCGTTGTTTAGACATTCCGCCCACGTCATAACGGCGCGGTTTTTTGAGGGTGAGTAAACATTTGGGTGCGCCTATGTGGAAATAGTGGCCGCAAATTGATCGCGATCTAGCTAGACCTGAATTAAATTTTGTTTTTATTTAAAACCCGTGCTAAAATTAAAAAAAATACTTTTTGAGTCTCAACCCCGAATAGTTTCGTACAGTTCACCCTGTTCTCGGCGCCGATTCACCCGTCAATCTGTCGGGGTTTTTTTTTGCTGAAATCTGTTATCAGACTTTTTCGGGTGGTCACCGCCGTTGGCTAGCCTTTTCCAGGGATTTCTTTGAAATTGTCCGGGTCACCAGTTCGGAAATCGGTTCGGAATTCTTTTCCTCTTGTTTCATTACTTTCACTATGTTTTCTGATTTTCTATTTCCCCGTTCTCGCCTTTTCTTGGGTTCCATATATTTTTTCCTTGCAGGTAGTTGACCGCCGTTTCCGGGCGACGGAGCCGAGAGAGCGGGACGGCTTTTGGGAGGTTGGTTTCGCTTTTTTTTCTCTTTTTTTCGGTGCATTCGATTTGAGTTCCGTCTTTGCAGATGTCGACAACGATTCACGAATCTTCAAGCGAGGGCTCAATCGTCATCATCCAGGAAGAGGAACTCGAAGAAGTTCAACCCAGCACCGCACATCACCAAAAGCCACAAGAACCTGCGGCCGGGCAGAGCGATTTGTTAGTTTTAACGAATTTGCGGCTTTTACGATACGCACGCGATAAGCCAGAAAGATTTTTTATGACATTCGTTTTTTTCAGCGTCTGGGCTCGAGGTCCGTACACCATCAGCGAACATGAAGAGCTCGGCGTCGTCTCGGCGGCAATGCGTAAACTCTGCTTTGTGATACGTTAAAATACGTTTTTAGTCTATTTCGGATTCGCTGTGTTGATCGGGTTCGCCTACTTTGCCGATTTCCTGCGGAAGCACCGGCTGATCGACACGGAGACGGGGCAGGCTCGGGAGCGGGTTGAGCAAGAGGTTCGAGTTTTACTTACGAACATATTCGATCATACGAAAATCTCGATATTTCGACGATAAACGGCCTAGTCTGCCAAAATTTGCCATTTTTGCGGGTATATAAATCTTTTCGCACTTGGAATATAGCGCAAATGAGGTAAAAAAACTATTAAAATAATAGTTATGGAGTTACCAAACGTCGATGAAAAGTTTCCGATTAATCCGGAAGCGCTACTGATCCGAATTCCGGAATATCTATTTTTTTAAGAGCTTCGCTTCGCTCGACAACGGCTTCGAATCGACGTTCGTGAATAACATCTACCGGATGGCCACCGACGTTGTCAACAGGTGCAACATCCGTTCGCATCTTATTTTAATGCTTTCAGGCCGATCGTCGGCGTTCCCGGAGCGGTTGTGCGGCTGAAGGATCGGATCACGCGGAATTTCGGCTGGTCGTACGAGTGAGTTAAAAATAGCAAAGTTGATTTTGGAGGGTAAAAACAGAGAAACAGGCAAAGTGGTTTTATGTGCTTTCATCGAATTGGTCTTATTGATTTATTTTGTATAAATTGTGAATTTGTATCATTGTTTTTCCGCAAAACTTACTTATTTTTTTTTGTCTTTCATTGTCTTTTTCCATTTCTATGCTGATTACTGATTACCTTTTCTGTCAATGTCAGATGTTTCCCATTTAGGACGTGTTTATTACTGTGCTGCAAATTTCTGCATTTTT